CAGACATCACACAGTTAAAGTGGCATCTGCGGAACATGCCCACTCTCCCCTCTGATATTTGCCCTGGCTATTGAGCCATTGTCATTGTAGACTATTTGTCATTATATGTCTCAAGCTCAGTCACTGCCATTCCTTCTATCGTTTCCATTCTTAGCATATTTAGATAGTTTTCTGGTTCTAAAGTTAATTTTCAGAACAGGGAGTGTTACCCTGTTAAATAGCTCTGAGGTTTAATTTAGGCCATTTAGACCATTGCAACTGTTTTTGCACAGTCAGTGTACACTTGGGTTACTAAAATGTACACACTGCTTCAGTGTATGTACACCAGATGGAACTCTTCTGCCTATTTTATTATTCAAGCATTCAGTATACACAATTAATAATTAATATTAATAATAATAATAATAATAATAATAATAGAAACATTTAATATGTTTTCATTGTTATATAAAACTGTGGATAATTTAGATGAATATTATTTACAATTTATTATAAAGACGCAAGTTTGTACAACACAATCTTTATCAATCACAAATTGATCACCACATGCCAAGGAAAGCTTTTATTTATTTATTAAATTATTTATTCATTCATCTATTTTTTTAAATGAGCTTTGAGGTTGTTTGTAATTAAAGCTATTATTGTGACAAGGATTTATGTATGTGCATAATTAAACTAATGTATACAGCTTTATACCAGTGCCTCATGAAAAGCTTGAGGTGAAGAAATAGAGGTGACGAATTTACCTTTCCAACAGCTCATGCAAAGAGCAGTGTCACATTGCCCAATATTCATAGTACATGTCGAAGCCACTTCTTGGTTTCAGTTTCACTTTGAACAGATCACAAGGTATTTGCTTCCGTTACTACACCATTATCAGAATTAAATCAGTCTTGTTTCATTACAGTTGATTCACCACTCTATGCTACCTTTATTGATTATACCCGTGAAAAAAAAAGTCAAATAAATAAATAATCAATCTGCTGTGCGTCAACCGAAGCGCGTGCACGCGACAGGAGGAAGAATCTGAGAGGAGCGCGAGCAACTGGCGGTGGAGAAATAACAGGCACAATGGGTAGGCAATAAATCAGTTCATAAAGTAGAGCATACAGGCTGAAATCTTACTGCAATGTTAATGCTTGTGGAGTAGGAAACTGCTCGTTGTATTTTTGAACTTGGCTGTGTGGAGGGGAAAGTTGCATTATTTAGAGTATCCCTTATATTCCTCTTTTGTAAGTCGCTTTGAATATAGCCATCTGTTAAATGAAAGTATATTATAAGAATGTTGGAAATGTAATGAAGTCAGTGTAATTAATCAATAATATGTACTACATATATGGAGGGGAAATATAAACTGTAAAATAATCTGTTCATTTCCTTCATGATACACGAGTGTTTCCCGTTTATTTGCGGTGGTGAATCACATTATCTGTCCACTCTGTCCACTTCTGATTTTGAAAATCCAACTTTACAGTTTAACAAACTGACTTTTAATGTAATTTTAAACAATAATATAATGTATAATAAATAATATCTAGTGAAATAAGCCTGTAAAATGTCAGGAAATGTACTAGCAGTTTAATTCAAGGTTTCTGTAGCATAATATACAACACCAATACAGACAATACAGCACTGCAGACAATTAATACTGTTCATAAAAGTCACTTTTTACAGCTTTTCAAGACTAAGAGTTGTTGGAGGAAAACATTGAAGATTTTATAATGCAGTTCAGAAGCAAACATAAATGGGGTACGTTTAGTGGGGTAAACACAGTGCATAATAAAATCATGAAATACAGAAAACTGCTTATTTATGGATATTCCTTACAGTGGGGTCTTTGTTCTTTGGAAATGAAGCTTTTCTTTCCTGTGAAAAATCTATATTGGGACATTATTTACTCCTTTGCTTTGGTTTTGTCTAGATGTAATCACATCATATGTTGCCGGAGAGCTTGACATACGTAAGCTTCAAACCCTTTTTTTAAATGTTATATAATTCATTTACTTAGTCCTATTACCTTTTTTGTAAAGTTGCTAAATTACTTGTGAAGGTCATTTAAATCAAGTTATTGTAATATAAGCTTCATATACCTATTTGCAAATGTATGAGTAAAGGTTTGATTTATTAAATTCATCATTTATCATATACTGAATGGTTGATTTTATTTTCAGAGAGTGAAAGGCGGTGGAGTACAAGTGGTGGTCGTCCTGAAAGTAAGCCAATTACGTTATGAATATCACTGTATACTATGAGAATATCCTTGAGATTCATGTGCAAAATAGTTGAAACAAATCTATTGCCTAATTGAATAATGTCAAACTGAAAAGTCAACAAACAATTTATTGCATTTTATACCCCACCCTTATCCAATATTTATACCATGTGTTGCACAAATATGTCTTTATATTTTGATTTGATGGATTCATATAATCCAGTTTTAAAAAAACATTACCCAAACATAAATACATTTCAACATAACAAAACATCTTCATATTCATATAACAATTGATTTTAATGAAGCACAAGATTAACAGATTCCTGTAGTTTGTCATTCAAGGGAGTTTTACATTTGTTGATAGTTTGCATTATGTGAACATTCATTCATTCATTCATTCATTCATTCATTTTCTTTTACACTTAGTCTCTTTATTAATCAGGGGTCACCTCAGCGCAATGAACCACCAACTTATCCAGCATATGTTTTACTTAGCGGATGCTCTTCCAGCTGCATCCCATACACACTCATTCACACAAACACATAAACTATGGACAATTTAGCATACCCAATTAACCTGTACAGCATGTATTGGACTTGGGAGGGAAACCGGAGCACCCGGAGGAAACCCACGCCAACATGAGGAGAACATGCAAACTCCACACAGATCCAGCCAAGACCATTATATGAACTTGATTTCTCTTTAACTTTTGCTGTTTAACAAAGTGATCTGACACATTTAGTAGTTCTGAAGATTGTGTGGTTCAGGTAATAATGTAAAGGCATAAAGCTGTGAAACGTCTGACAGCTCATCATTCTGTTCTGTTGTACTGCACTTTATATGATCAACACAAACAACTGAAGTTTATTTATAAACTAATTTCAGGAGGATCATGTGCTTATGATTGATCACAGCTGGTCCTGCAATAGCTAATTCATGATTGACCAATCAGATGATTCCTAAGGCACGATAAATACCCTAAATTCCACATCACAGCCATCTTTGTTTTGAATAATCCCCCTTCCACCCCTAATCCTCCTTTCCTAGATGGGTGGCCCAGTGGTTAGCACTGTTGCCTCACAGCAAGAACGTCACTGGTTTTAGTCCTAACCCACATTTCTATGCAGAGTTTACAAGTTCTCCCCGTGCTCATGTGGATTCCATCTGGTTTCCTCTTGCCATCCAAAAACATGAAACTTAAGTTAAAGGTGCAGTAGGTGATTGTCTTCAGAAACATGTGTTGTTGTGCTGGTTGAAAGTCTCTTCACAGTCCAATAGTAATGATTACAGTAAATGATCTAAATGTGTTTTTATATTCTGGGAAAGGCATAAAACTAAAAAATGTTCATCCAATTAAATAGAGTCGGACCGTCATCTCCCTTAATTCCGATAAGCTGGTCAGACTGTCTATTAGCAAATGTAGATTCCGACTTCTGCGCTTGTGTTTACGCAGATCCGCCATTGGCGCGTGCCCGTCTGCATCACAAACGCATGCGCTCCGAGCGAGCTGCGGGCCGCTCGCAGATGGCGAGTTGGAGCTGGAGGTGCCGAAGGACAGCCGAGCTCGGGCCGATTACTGTATAGCCAGGCGCGGGTATAATTCGCCCTTAAAGCGGCCGTGCAGTCACGAGATGGACCGGGAAAAATCAAAAGCTAAATTGAAACTTTTAAAATCCTGAATCAATATTGGAGTTACTTTAGCACGCTGGAGGAAGGACGACACCATGGCTGAAGTATTACTGTTAGACAGGTCATGTTCTGTTTTGAAACTATTTTAGTCAGGCTAAGCTGATGTTAGATTGTGTTTTTTTATTATGAATGACTTATATGCACAGACGTGTTGTTCAGCCACTGAAATCTCCCGGTTAAAGATTGATGTGATTATTTTCAGTTTCATACGGTTCTTTGACAGCATCTATAATGTAGATTTATATTTAGTTTAACAACAAAACATCAGTAAATAGCGCTGTTCCGCATAACCTGCTTTACTGAGCTGAAGTTGCTTTTATATTTACATTGGGTCATTTTTGAGCAATGACAGCCTTCCTATACTGTTTACCATGCTACTCTGAATATATGCTCTGAAATAGCATGTAAGTGTGGCAAAGTATTTCATGTAATTCCTGCACGGTGCTGGCACTAACTAACTGGCGAATGACATGAACTAGTGGGTTGTCTGTCGGCTGTTGTGACGCGGTGCGCGTGCTCGCGATTTCAGGGGGTGTGACTTTGAATCACAGCCCCTCCCCGCCGTCCAAAGATAATATGCTAAGCAGTTAGCATTTTCAGTAGATCACCTACTGCACCTTTAATTAACTAGTCCAAATCGGCACCATAGACATGCTCCTAGAAAGTAGTTAACTCTTTAGAGCAATCACTATCTTCTCATTAGCTACTACAGCAGGGGAGTTCTCGAGATCGACCTGAGCTCAAACTCCCCTCTCGCCTTGCAAACGGGAGGGAGCCCCAGGCTCGAGAATCTTATGAGATCAGGGCTCTCTCCCAGGAAAGCATACCAAACAAGCTCTATAATCAATCATCAGCTAAGTGTGAACTCTTGAATTTGCTTTAATGTGCTAAAAATATGCACAATGACTTTGAATTTGAAGTTAAACCAGGAGTAGACGTTGATCATGCAGTTTGGAAGAATAAACAAATATAAAGCAAGTGTAAACAATCACAAACTATGGCAAACTGTTGACATTAACATAATTATTTATTATGGTTACTGTGGAATTGCTGCATATTTCTAATGTTTTCTTTACACTGTTGTTGTGTTTTCAGTGTGTGATCTAAGAATCGTTCTTCTTGGAAAAAGTGTATCGGAAAACAGTCGAGTGAGAAATGTAATCCTGGGAATAGATATGTGTGAGAATGAAGATCTGGCAGCCCTTACGAGGCACAATGTGACGCAGATTGCTGGAACTGTGGAAGACAGACACGTGACGATCATTAACACTCTTCATCTGCTGAATCCAGACACTACAGATCATCAGATCACACAGACAGTCAGAGAGTGTGTAGAAATGTCTGATCCAGGACCTCATGCATTCATACTGGTACTACAGTACAAAGACTTCACAGAAGACGACATGAGAAAAGTCAAATATGTGCTCAACACATTTAGTAAAGATGCACTTAAACACACTATTGCTCTCACCACTGATAAAGAGACGCCCAGATCAATGTTTAGTGCTTTTAAACTGACTGGAGGCTCTGCTGCGGTGCAAACTATTCATCAGTTAATGAAGGAGTGTGGAGGAGGACATCTGCAGCTGGATGAGAGAAATAAAGCAGATATAATTCAGCTGATTGATAAGATTCTCCAGGAAAACCAGGAAGCGTATCTCACATGTGACACATTCAGTGAGGTTATAGGAACTTCTGTGGATGAGCCAATCAGTTTGGAGGAAAATAACGAGAAAATCCCTCGCCACAGTGACGATGGAAACCCCAAAGAGGCACAGAAACTGAGAAGTGAAGAAGGGAGTTTCTCTAGTAAGTTTTCAGAATTACCGTTTTAAGATTTATGAACTACAATAACATACACTAGACTAATATAATATGCTTACAGCATGTCTAATCTCATGAAGTTTAATGAAACAGAATGAATGTGTAATTGTGTCTTATAGTCTAAACAGCACTTTATTGTTATTGTTAAACTTTGGAGAGAAAAAAAAAGTTGCAGATATTTAAAGTGCAGTATTTTATATTCAAGGTAAATCTCAGAAGTCAAAGAAAGCATGTGAAAAGTCACTATAGGATAAAATTAAGGTTATTCAAGTATTAACAGAGGAACACTGATGGAAAGGAGAACAGAAAGCAAAAGCAGAAATGGTTACAGATTCTAGTAGAAATGCATGACGTAAATGTGGTATGAAGTGTACAACTATTATTAGTACAATTAACTACACGTGGAGTAGTGTCTGTCCATTTTAAAGAAGCGTTTGTTTCGCTCAACATAGTTTAAAAGATACCACGAAGTTGAAAAGGGGCAGAGGGTGGTGTAAGGGGATGTGACATAGTTGAAAAGAGGGGGTGTGCATGAGAGCTGAAAAACTGCAGGGGGAGGAGTCAGGGCAATGTGACATAGCTAAAAAGAGTGGGGGGTGTGGGGGGAGGTTGTGCCATGTAGTTGAAAAGCAGTTGAGGGGCGGTGTAGAGGGGACATTACAGTTTAAAAAGGGGGTGTAGGTGGGTTCGATGTAGTCGCAAAGCAGTGGTTGGTTGGTTTAGGGGGCACGTGTGATGTAGTTGAAAAATGGCTGAGGAGCAGTGTGGGGGGATGTGTAATATAGTTGTAAATGGGGGGTGTGGAGGGAGTTTGTGCCATGTAGTTGAAAAGCAGTGGAGGGGGCTATGTAAGGGGGACATGACATAGTTGAAAAGAGGGAGGGGGACATAACAAAGTTGAAAAGCAGTGGGGGTGGTGTTGGGAAGACATGACATTGTTTAATGGTGAGCATGCATGATGTAGTTAAAAAACGGTAAGGGGCAAGGTAAGAGAAGAAGTGACGTAGTTGATAAGGGGGGCAGGGGGTAGTTGTAGGGGGCACGTGTGATGTAGATGAAAAATGGCTTGGTAGCGGTGTGGGGGGATATGTAATATAGTTGTAAATGGGGGGGGGGTGGAGAGAGGTCGTGCCATGTAGTTGAAAAGCAGTAGAGGGGGCTATGTAAGGGGGACATGACATAGTTGAAAAGAGGGAGGGGGATATAACAAAGTTGAAAAGCAGTGGGGGTGGTGTTGGGGGGACATGACATTGTTAAATGATGAGCATGCATGATGTAGTTAAAAAGCGGTAAGGGGGCAAGGCAAGAGGGGAAGTGAGGGGGGTAGGGGGTAGTTGTAGTTGTGTAGTTGAAAAGCGGCAGGGGGTGGTGTGGGGGGATGTGTGATGTAGTTGTAAAGAGAGGGGGTGTGGAGGGAGGTCGTGCCATGTAGTTGAAAAGCGGTGGAGGGGGCTATGTAAGCGGGACATGACATAGTTGAAAAGCAGTGGGGGTGGTGTTTGGGGGGCATGACGTTGTTAAAAAGGGATGTGTGATGTAGTTAAAAAACGGTAAGGGGGCAAGCAAGAGGGGAAGTGATGTAGTTTATAGGGTAGTTATAGGGGGTCACATGATATAGTTGAAAAGCGATGGGGGTGGTGTAGGGGAATGCGTGACATAGCTGAAAAACAATCCGGGGGCGGTGTAGGGGAGATTTGATTTAGTTGATCGGGAGGGTTGTAGGCAGTGTACAATATAGTTGAAAAGGTAAGGGGGGTAGTGACTTTGTTGATAAAGGGGGGAAGGGGGTAGTAATAGGGGGGTACATGATATAGTTTAAAACCGATGGGGGGTGGTGTAGGGGAATGCGTGACATAGCTGAAAAAACGGTCCGGTGGCAGTGTAGGGGGGATGTGATTTGGTTGAGGGTTGTAGGCGGTGTGCAATATAGATAAAAAAACGGCAGAGGGGATAACGGCAGAGGGGATAACGGCAGAGGGAATGTGACGTAGTTGAAAAGGGGGGTTGTAGGGGGACACTTGGTATAGTCAGTGGCGTAGCGGACGGGCCCGCAGGGCACGCACCGCGGGGGGGGGCCCGCGTGATTAGGGGGCCCCACGTCGTCACGATTTTTAATAATTGAAAATCCAGGAACCGCAATAATCAAACTATTGGGAACAACTGTGGCCGGAACCAAAGTTTACAGGTCTGTGTTCTCTGAATTCCGCTCAAGCGGTGGACTACTTCATTCTGATTGCTTGCCGCCGAACCGCGTCATAGCCAAAGAAGACGTGATCCATCAATGTAGAAAAGTGGTCAAATAAACATTTTCATAATTAAAAAAAATGCATACTAACATCCAGGAAAACTCCTGATCATAGATATATGTGTATATCTATGTGTATATGTGTATATACCCCCCCCCGGCTTCAACTTGGGGGCCCCGTCGGTGATCCCTGCAGGGGGGCCTCCGCATTTTGCGCTACGCCACTGGGTATAGTTGAAAAATGGTAGGAGGGGAACGTAATGTAGTTGATAAAAGGGGTGTGTGCGATTATAGTGGAAAAGCAGTGGGGGTGGTGTAGAGGGTTAATGTGATGTAGTTAAATATTGAGGGTGTAGGGGTGCGTGTGCCATGTAGTTGAAAATTAGCAGGGGGTGGTGTCAGGGTGACGTGACAGAGTTGAAAGGAGGCAGGGGAGGGACTGCGTTTCAAAGATATTATGCTAGCAGGTTAGCATTTTGGCAGATCACCTACTGCACCTTTAATGGGTTCTTTTAGTGTTCTTTTGGTTGTGTGTTTTCCCTGACCCAAGGCATGTAATCGTCACTTACGGTAAAAGCATCCACTAAGTCAATTAACTTAAATATATTTTTACAGACTTTACAGGACATAGTCCACCAGCGATTCGCCCCAGTTGTAAGTAATTATTGAACACACAGTAATTGGAGTTATGTACGTGTTGTGTGATAGTGTGACTGAACATTATGCTCATTTATTTGTTTGCCTCTCAGTGTCTGCAAACCTCACTGGGAGACAGAAGCTGAATGTGGTGCTCTGTGGAAGTAATGGATCACTGAAAGTCTCTGTGTCTAAACTTTTACGTGGAAAAAAGTTCAAATCAACAAGTAGGCAGGCAAGTAGTGAAATACGTGTGAAGAAAGAGAAGATTCACGGTCGTCAGGTCAGTCTGCTGGAGCTTCCAGCTCTCAGTCGTCTCTCAGAAGATGAAGTGATGCGTCAGACTCTCCACTGTGTCTCTCTCTGTGATTCTGAAGTTCATGCTTTCCTCCTCATTATTCCCGCTGGTCCTCTGACTGATGAAGAAAAAGCAGAAATAGAGACAATTAGAAGAACATTTGACTCTTGTGAGCAATTCATACTACTGTTCATGACAAAACAGACTGTTGAAGGACCCGTGACAGATTTTGTTAAATTCCACGAAGGTCCTAAAAGATTGTGCAGTCAGTATGGTGGCAGATATAAAGTGATGGGGTTAAAGGAACTTGAAAATGCAAAAAGGATCCTAGAGCTGTTGAATTACATAGAGAATTTGAAAACTAAGCCATATTCACTTCAGATGTACATGACAGCTCAACAGAACAGAGTCAGGGGTGAACTGGAGAAAAAAATGAGTGAAATGGAAAAGAAAATCAAAGACTTGCAGCAGAGGATTCAGACTGAAGGTAGGGTGAACAGTTCATATTTTTGCATTCATTATTGTTATTTTTATTGCAAACTCTAAATGCTGCTTTGGTTTTAGTCAGTCAAATATTGTAAAGATATTACCATTAAAGGCATTATCTATATGGGTATAATATGGAAATATGCTTGGGCCATCCTATCATTGTGTAATAAAAACCTATGACAGGATTGGGCCCTATTTTCACTTTTTATGTTGCTGAAATAGCGACAATTATTTATCTGCTGTCACTGTAATATCAATACACAAATACAATATACTGATACACAGCATATATTTCCCCAAATGTTTACATTAACTTTAGACATTACTGTTTAAGTGTACATCTGTGTACAATACAATCTCAGCTTGCATGTTTGTCTCCTTTGTAAAACAACAGGTAGACAGATGAAGGCAAAACCTACAACAACCAAGCAGAAGACAAAATAAAGACCCAATATATATATTTTTCATACAAAGACCCCACTGTAAAAAGGCAGTTTTTTAGAGGTTGTGAGACATTTCAGAGCCTACACCCATTGTAAAGCCTTCTTTATTCCCTACTACCATTCCTGAGCTCACTCTCTAGTCCCGCACTCTGTTGCATTCCCTGACTCACCTCCAGATATTGCTTCAATCACTGACCTTGTACCAATTTTCTCCAGAAAATTGGTCCATTCTCTTGCTTCACTCTCTAATTCTGCTCTAGACTCTGCTCTGGTCTTTGACTTGTCTCCAGAGCTACTGCTTGCTATAGAGCTTGAACCTTGCAGTTTCTGAGGTGCAGAATTGTGGAGAAGAGTCAGGGACTGAAACAGTCATGGAATGGGACAGACCCTTGAGAAGATTAAGGGACTGGAACAGACTATGGAAGAGAATCAGGTACTGAGGCAGACTCTGTAGAAGATTGAGGGACTAGAGCAAACTTGAGCAGAGTTATAAATTTGAGCAGATTCTGGAAAAGACTCTAAAAAGGTTTGCTCATGTCCCTTAATCTTCAACAGAGTTACCACAGTACCTAATTCTGTTCCAGAGTTGTCTTCTGTCCCTGGTTCTGAATAAGAGTCAGGAACTGGGGCAGACTCTGAAGAAAAGTCTGCCCCAGTCACTGACTTAGCTCCAGAGTTTGCTCCAGTCCCTGACTTTTCAACAGATTCTGCTCCAGTCCCTGACATTTCACTGGAGTCTTCTCCAGTTCTTGAATCTGCTCCAGAGCCTGGTCCAGTTTCTGACTTTGTTCTAAAGCCCAATTTACTCTGTGATTCTGCTGTGTTCCAGAGCTCTCTTCCTTTCTGGATTTTGCCCTAGAGCCTACTGCAGTCTCTGACTTTGTTTCAGAGCTTGACACATGAATCCTCAGATTCTGGGGTGCAAACAGATCCTCAGCATGGGATCTTCCAGAGTCTGCTCTAGTTCCTGACTTTACTCCACAGTTTTTTCCAGTCCCGGACTCAGCTCCAGAGTTTGCGTCAGTCCCTGAATCTTTTGCAGAGTCTGCCCCAGTCCCTGACTTCGGATCATAGTTGCAGATTGAACCAGATTCTGCAGAAGAGTCAGGCACTGAAACAGTCAGAGAATGGGACAGACTCTGGAGAAGATTTAGGGAGTCAAGCAGTCTCGGGAATGTACTGGGGCAGACTCCAGAAGATTAAGGGGACTAGAATATAAGCAGGATCTGGAGAAGAGTCAGGGTCTGCAACAGAGTTTGCTCTAGTCCCTTAATCTTCTACCTGCCCAAGTTAATGATTATTTTCCAGAGTGTGATCCAGTCCCTGACTCTTCTTCAGAGTCTGCCCCAGTCCCGACTCTTCTTCAAAGTCTGCCCTTGTACCTGATTTTGTTCCAGTCTCTCACATTTCTTTGGAGTCTGCTCTATTCTTTGACTAGTTTTGTCAAAAAATAGACCAGTCTGTGACTCTGCTCTGCTCCAGAGCCTACTGCAGTCTTTGACTTTGTTTCAGAGCTTGCTACAGTAATGAATTGTCAGATTCTGAAGGGCAAACAGATCCTTTACATGTCATCTTCCAGAGTCTGCTCTAGTTCCCGACTCTGCTCCAGAGCCTTTCCCAGCTTCAACTTTGCTACAGGGTATGATCCTGTCCTTGAATCCTCTCCAGAGTCTGTCCAATTTTCCAACACTGTTGCAGTCCCTGACTGTTCTCCACAGTATGCCTAGGTTCCCAATTCTGCTTCAGTCCTATATTCTGCTCCAGGGCCTGCTCCAGTTTCAGACTTTGTTCCAAAGCTCATTCCAGTCTTTGATTCTGCTCCAGAATATTCTAAAGTCACAATTTAAGCTACACACAAATACAAACACATGGCTGAGTTTTGTTTAGTTCTAAGCAGACATTTCTAAATGTTTCCCTTGCATATGTCATTTCAATATTTCTAGCATCAAGAAACTGCTTTACCTGTGTTGTTGTGTGATAGGAGGTATTGTACTGTATTAATGCTGCAGGTTCATAGGATGATAAGTACAGTGAAGGAACATGTTGTCAAAGGGCTTTCTGATGTTCATTTGCATTCACTATTATATATCGCTGTTTAAAAGTTCAAACTACTGCATGATTTGAATGATTTAGGGACATTACAAAGATGCAGTATTTTAGAAATCCCATATTTGCAATGACCAACTTTTGTCAGTAAATTAGTCATATAAAAAAATAACCACCATAGGATAAATATGAAAGTGAGCTCTATTTTTTTAAATCTTTTGAATATCCCATGTCCTTTTTTATCTGATTTGAGTTTTTTATAATGTGCCGCAGAATAGATGTGAGCCTTTTTAAAATGTTCTATTTAAAATTCTAACCAAATGTTAATACATGATTTTTATCAGGTTCTGAAGATGAAACCGAAAATCATGAATGTCTGAGGATTGTGCTAATTGGAAGAACTGGAAGTGGAAAGAGCGCAACAGGAAACACTATTCTTGGAAGAGAGGAGTTCTGCAGCCAGTTAAGGCCAGATTCAGTGACGAATGTCTGCGAGAAAGGAGTTGGAGAAGTTGATGGTCGATCAGTAGCTGTTGTTGATACTCCAGGGCTCTTCGACACAACACTGACAAATGATCAAGTGGTGGAAGAAATAGTGAAGTGTGTTTCACTGTCAGCTCCTGGACCTCATGTGTTTGTCATTGTGTTGAGTTTGGGAAGATTCACCAAAGAGGAGACAGACACTATCGATCTGATCAAGAAGATATTTGGTACAAAATCTGCTCAGTTCAGCATCGTTCTGTTTACCAGAGGAGATGATCTCAATGAGTCTATAAATGATTATGTGAGTAAATATAACTGTGCAGAACTCCAAAAACTGATCAGAGATTGTGAAAACAGATTCCTGGCTTTCAATAACAGAGAAAAACAAGACAAAACTCAAGTGATGAAGCTGTTAAAGATGATAGAAGAGGTGAAGAGTAATAATCAGGGTGGATACTTCACTAACAGCATGTTTGAGGAAGCAGAGATGTCCATTAAGAAGAGGATGGAGGAAATTATGAAGGAGAGAGAAAGAGAGATGCAAGCTCAAAATGAGGCATTAAAGGCCAAATATGAAATTGAAATGAACAATGTGATGAAAAGACTTGAGGAGGAGAAACAAAGAGCAGAAGAGGAGAAATTGAAAATCGAGAATAAATTCAGAGAAAAAGAGGAAAAACTAAAGAAAGAGTTTGAAGAGAAGGAGAAAGCAGATCAGATCAAGCGAGAGATTCAACACCAGAAACGGTCAGAAGAGGAAAAACAGCAGAGAGCTGAATATCATCAGAGAATAGAAGAAATGATGAGAGAGATCGACAATCAGAGATCACAGTATGAACAACAGCAGAAAGAAAGAGAAGAACAAGACAGAAAGAGAGAAGAAAAATACAGACAAGACCAAGAAAAGATGAGAAATGAACAAGAGAGAATTATAGCAGAGGTACAGAGAAAACAAGAGGAGGAAATAAAGAAGAAATACTATGATAATCAAAAGAGGAACAAGGAAGAAGAGGAGGAAAGACAGAGATGGGAAAGAAGAATAAAAGAAGCTGAAAATGACAGAAAAGAGATTCTAGAGGAAATTAAACGACAGCAGAGAGAATGGGAGGATGAGAAAAGACGGAGGTTGAGAGAACGAGAGGAAGAAGAAAGAAAAAGAAAAGAGAAACACGAAGAACAACTGAGAGAAAAACAAGAAGAACTGGAGAAAATGAGAAAGAGATTTGAAGGAGAAAGAGAAGAAGAACGACAGAAGATGGAGGAAGAGAGACAGAAACAGAGAAGAGAAAGAGAAGAAAAGGAGAGAGATTATGAGGAAAAGAGACAGGAGACAAAGAGACATTATGAACGACTGGAACGAGAGAGAAAAAAGGAGTGGGAGAGAAGAAAAGAAGAAGATGAAGAGAGACGAGAAGACGAGAGAAGGAGATGGAAGAAAATGATTGAAGATCTGAAACGAGAGCAGGACGAGGAGAAAGGTAGGAGAGAAGCAGAAGAGAAAGTAAGACAAAAGAGAGAAGAGAAAGAGAGAGATGAAATGAAACAGAAACATGAAGAGGAAATAAAACAGATAAAGAAGAAACATGAAGTTGAGGCCAGAAAACAAGCAGAAGAACTGAATGATTTCAGAGAGAAAAAAGAGCAGCACATTCAGGAGCTTCAGCAGATGCTGGAAGAACGTCAGAAACAACATCAGATACTAGAGAAAATTTATCAACACCTGCAAGAACAGAAAGAAGAGGAAATCAAAGACCTACTACAAGAAGTGGAGAGAATGAAGAATAAATCCAGCTGTAACATTCTGTGATGGTCACCTTTCCTGTTTATAGCTACTGCTTTCTATTACTAATGTCAAATCAGATTTCTGTTTTGTGCTGCTTAAAATATCTCCTCATCTGACTGTCCTTCCTTTATAAACGGGATATTAGTTGGAGACATGCTGCTGTATTTATACAAATCAACAAAAATGACATCTGATATACTAGACCAGGAATGGGGAAACTTGATCCTCGAGGGCCGGTGTCCCTGCAGAGTTTTGTTCCAACACTAGTCAAACACACCTGAACAAACTAATCAGTGTCTTTAAGATCACTTGAACTCTATAGGGAGGTCTGTTTGAATAGGGTTAGAGCTAAACTATGCAGGACACCGGCCCTCCAGGATCAGGTTTGCCCACACCTGCACTAGACAATACCATAATACATATACTACACAGTGATTTATAGATTTTAATAAAATAATTAAAAACTCTTAACACCCCTACTTCTAATCTGTATACTTCCAAAAACTAATGAAAGTTGCTTTTGAATAAAATGCTTTGGTAGATTATTTTGGGATTTGCCCCAGTGTTTTTTTGTAACCTGTGTATGTTGTGGAATCAAAAGTTTCAATTTAAATGTTTAACTAAAAAGTAATGCTATTTTACATTTTGAGGTAAATATGATGACATTCTAAGTAAAGATTGAGTCTAACAGACCAAGTGTCTAAGACATTAAACTCTTGTCTTCATGTTCTTCCGGACCATCAGCATGGTCCAAATGTCTGTGCCGTTGTTTCTATGAAGTTTAGGGCAATCATGCCAGGTTGGTTGGATTAGCAGAACCTCTGCATTTAAATTGGTATTGTTATGCTGCTGAGATCAGAACAAGGAAGGTTCCATTGCCAGGCTGATTCCGGTACTTTATTTGCCTGCTTTGTTTAGATTTGTCTCCACCTCTATCTATCTCAATCCCCTAAAATATATATAATATACAGGGTAACACTGCTCTTGATAAGCTTCTCTAGGACTTCGCTCAGATTTCTGCTCACACTGTTGGATTTCAGCCAAAATTTGGTCATCTGTCACAAATTTTGAAAATCCTAAAATATTTTTGAAATCCTAGACTAAAATCTGTGATCATTGGTTTGACATGTTCATTGACAGCCATTTAATGGGGGTTGTGATCCAATTTTCCCTCAAATGAAGTTCTGGTAGTGTTTCAGACACTTGCACTGTAACAGCAGATACGATCAGCATCAAACCGAGAACCTATAAGGACATTTAATCTGATGATGCAATCAGCATAACAACTTTAAACCTGTTCAAACTTTTTTTTTTCTACCTGGTTTTATTACTGAGGTACACGGTGTGCAGCTACACATTGTTTGTCTTTGCTGTGAGATATCATTTCAGAACGCAGAATAATGAAAGTGTCATGGATGGATGACATCAATCTTCAGGTAAGTTTTCTTCCTCCTTTGGTGTGTTTTTATTGTCATTCAGTCTGACATTATGACAGCTGAGATCTTGTGTGTCATGGGAGACATGTTCATGCAGTTTGACTTTCTACAATCATTTAGGATTATTGAAAATCACAGTGTGAGCCAGCTTTTAGACTTCTTGTTAGTCTACATGCTCAGACTTCTTTTAGACATCTCTTAGACTTCTTGTCAGACTAGTCACTCAGCCTTGTCTTAGACTTCTGTTAATCTTCTCTTCTCTATTTCCACCTGGGGATACTCATCCCAATACCTCTAGAGATTGTGCAGCACCATTAATGTGATCCAATTTCTGTGAAGAGATGATATCAACCATAGAGGACTTTTAGAGGTCTCTGTAATCCTGGACCAGGCCTTATCCTGAGCAGATGCTGTGGTGGTCTTGGAGTGCAGAGAATGAGACTGATTCCTGAAAGACCCCAGTGACAGACAAGTCTGAATTGATCTCGTGGCCCAAACTGTGCACCCCGGTGACCTACCCACACCTGCAGCTTCTCCACGATGGATGTCCAGGGTTCTTCAGCCTCTGGTGCTTAGACTGCAACTCTGCACAATAAGTTTGGCCAGACGAGAAATAGTCATGCTCAACTGCCAAAGCCATATTACCCTGCAGCTCAAGAGCGGTTACTCATTGAAGTTAAGCAGGGCTGAGCCTGGTCAGTACCTGGATGGGAGACCACAGGGGAAAACTAGGTTTCTGTTGAAAGTGGTGTTACTGAGGCCAGCAGGGGGTGCTCAACATGTGGTCTTAAATGTGCTCCCTAACTCTCCTGTTTCCACTAAAAATGTTCCTTTGGAGCTCTGGAGGGTCAATATATATGGCCTTCTGCTATACCCAAACCTTTAGTCACTAATGTCAATGCCAAACGCTTTCAGTCGTGCCGGCAGTGAAAGATTTTGGGCTGTGGATAATCTGAAACATGTATTGTTCTCTGATGAATCCACCTTCACCGTCTATCCCACATCCAGGAGAGTTATGGTGTAGAGAAGCCCCAAAGAAGCATACCACCCAGACTACTGCATGCCCAGAGTGAAGCATGGGAATGGATCAGTGATGGATTGTGCTGTAATAACATAGCATTTCTTAGGCACAATACTTGTGTTGGATATGTGCGTCACTGCTAAGGATGACTGAACCATTCTGGAGGACCATGTGCACACAGTGGTTCAAACATTGTATCCTAAAGGCAGTCTCGTCTATCAGGATAGTGCACCAACACACACAGCAAAACTGGTGACAGAGTGATTTGATGAACATGAAAGTGAAGTTGAACATCTCCTATATTACAGTCATCAGACCTAAATATTGAACCACTTTAGGGTGTTTTGGAGGAGGGAGTCAGGAAATGTTTTCCTTCAGCAGCATCAAGTAGTGACCTGAACACTACTCTGTATCTGCCATTTCCAAAACAAACTAATGCTGTATTGGCCTCAAAAGGAGGCCCTACACCAAACTAATGAATTTTGTGGTTTATAACCAGGCGTTTCAGTTTCTTTGTCCAACCCCAGTAGTTACCCCAGTACCGGTGTGTGGTGAGCGCACTGGCGCCGTTGTACTGTGGCTGGCATCGCATCATCTAAGGGGATGCTGCACACTAGTGGTGGTGTGAAGAGACCCCTTTTATGATTGTGAAGTGCTTTGACCATACACAATAAATGTGCTAGTTCAAATCACCTTACAATACATTTGAAAAAAAATTGTAGAGAAATATGGACTAAACAAAGGAAATTTTATGCAATAAATAAATGAAAATGGGTAAAAGCCAGGTCAAAACCTTTAAGACAGGACAGAGTTCCAGAGCTTTAAAATTGTATTCTATAATTGTGTAATTGTTCGAGTTATATGATCGCATGGTTTAATAATATTTTACACTACTGTTGTGGAGTATTTGGCGATTCATTGTTTTGTTTTTTAAATATCATATTATTTAATTTGTATCATTATTTTATTTCAAATTCAATGAGCTGCAAGCTGAGCTGTATGCAATGCTTTATCGCAAACCTTAAATCGCACACCTAAACCCACCCCTAACCCTACCCTCACCATGATGTCACTAACTCCATTAGGTGCAAAGTGTCTCATAATGTATTTCTTAAACATGCTGAAAGTCTGCATTCCGATACTATTGCATTCAACCTATAAAGTACATAAATATATACATTAGATGTTGCCTACCCTGTTGCTGTCTATGGGAAGGAATGCGTCGATAGAGCCGCCATTTTACTACAGGGTAGCGCTCCTTTGAAATGAATGCGGGACTAAGCTGCAGTTGAGGGCTGTGGCCATCTAAAGCCAGGGATATACACATATACACATATATCTATGATCGGGAGTTTTCCCAGAGGTCAGTATGCAGTATCTACAATGATGGATCAGTGATCACACAGGCATTCCTGACAAAAAGCTTGTGTTTGTGTTTATGGAAATGTACTACCTACCCTCCCTGTTAAATTTGATCTAATCATGTCCTGAAACACAGCTCCTCTCCTGCTTTCACTTCTCATACTGATGGAGGGAGCGATTCGTTTGTGAATGAATCTCTGTTATGAACGACTCCTTCACTAGCCGACAATAATACAAGTTTCTGGCACTGCAGCACTTTGTTGTCATATTTCTTATGCATTGTTTGCTAATTTTATTCAACAAAACTAGCATAAGCCGAGTGTTTAGTGTGAGTTAGTGTAACTTTGCCTTATGGTGAATGCAGTAAGTGACTGTATTAACATCAATAAAGTGACCTGTTTAGCACAAAAGTTTATAACATACAAAAAACGTTAAAAACTATACATATGAAATGTTCTGCCTTTGTGCTTTGTTTTCTTTGTTTGCTCGTTACTACACTCTTAGACAGCGCTAAAGTCCCGCATCTTCACGTAATAACACTGTCTTGACTAGTGCGGTTGAATGACATTTGTCCTGGGAGCACTGTACAAACATGGCGTTGCTATTGACACATGCTCAGGGTCCCTATGCGATATCTAGTGTATATATCTATTTATAAAATATACATTCTCAGTCCAGTTTATAAGGATAACGTTAATTATAAAACCATAGCTGCAGGAAAACATTGAAGTTATTAACTTTGAAGATTAAACAAACTGCATGCTAAAGTGTAAATGAAAAGTGTGCAGAAATACTAGATTTAATGAGTCTTCCTTTCTTTTGATTTATAATGTGACTTATACAGCACAAGGATTTATTTTCTACTCGGCACATGATGCCAACTAATGTGAAAATCGTGACAAAAGAAAATAATAAATGAAAAAATT